TTCACGCTTCCGGCCTCTCCACAGCAAAATGGGATTGCTGAGCGCCGCATTGGCATGGTCATGGACGTCGCTCGTACGTCCATGATCCATGCGGCTGCTCCCCATTTTCTGTGGCCGTTTGCGGTTCAGTACGCGGCGCATCAGCTCAACCTTCAGCCCCGGGTCTCCTTGCCAGAGACCTCCCCTACCTTGCGGTGGACGGGGAAGGTTGGCGATGCGTCTGCGTTTCGGGTCTGGGGATCTCGGGCGTTTGTCCGCGACTTGTCTGCGGACAAGCTTTCCCCCCGTGCTGTTCCCTGCGTCTTCCTTGGCTTCCCCCCTGACGCGCCTGGTTGGCGGTTCTACCACCCCACCTCGCGCCGTGTTCTGTCCTCCCAGGACGTCACCTTTGACGAGTCGGTGCCTTACTACCGTCTCTTCCCCTACCGCACTGCGCCCCTCCCCCCGCCGCTGCTCTTCCTTGCGCCAGGTCCTCCCCCGGTAGACCCCCTCCCCCCTCAGGGTCCTGCCCCGTCAGGTGTGTCCCAGGTAGACGCAGTTGAGCCTGTCGAGGTAGCTGTTGACTCTGGTGCTGCTAGGGGCGCTGTGCCTGCGGGTGCCAGGTCTGGGGGTGCGGAGCCTGGGGGTGCTGAGTCTGGGGGTGCTGAGACTGGGGGTGCGGAGCCTGGGGGTGCTGAGCCTGGGGGTGCGGAGCCTGGGGGTGCTGAGCCTGGGGGTGCGGAGCCTGGGGGTGCTGAGCCTGGGGGTGCGGAGCCTGGGGGTGCTGGGTCTACTCGTGTGGCCTCTGGCGGTGCTTTGTCGAGGCGGGAGCTACTCTCTCCGCAGGAGCTGCGCGAGTGGTTTGCCCGGCGCTGGAGCCGTGCTGCTGGAGCTGGAGGTACTACTGTTGCTGCTAGTCCTGGAGGTGCTCGTCCTTGGTGGTTCTGGAGCTGCTGGGACTGGGAGTCCTGCTGGAGGTGCTACTGGAGCTGCTGGAGCTGGAGCTGCTGGGGGTGTTGGCGCTGGTGGTTCTGCCGGCGCCGGTGCTTCTGAGGGTGCTGGAGGTGGCGGTGGAGCTGGAGGTGCTGCTGGCGCTGGTGCTGCCGCTGGGGGTACTGGTGCTGTCCCTGCTGGTTCTGGAGGCGCTGCGCGGCCGAGGCCGTACTTCGTTCCGCTCCTTGAGCAGGTTCTTGGTCTCCCGCCCTCTACTGGTCCTGCTCCTCCCTTAGCGTGTCCACAACCTGTCCAGTCGCGGTCACAGTTACAGCCCACCTCCCCCCTGCGTGCTCCTTCTCCCTACACTGGTCCTACTGGAGGTCTTGCTAAGGGTCGTGAGCCTGCGTCTCGTCCTGCGTCGCCTGTTCGTGCTGCTCGCGCTAGTGGTCGTGCTCCACGTCCGCGTCCTCCTGCGGTCCCCGGCACACACCAGATGGCACTGCGTCCTTCCACTGCTCCTCTGCGTGTCCCGTTGCCGTCTCCTCCAGAGTCCTCTCTTCCTACTCTTGCTAACCCTGAGTCTGACTCTCTTCGTGCTGCCAGTCCTACTGTCACGCGTCTCCTGGCTACTGTTGTCACTGACCCTTCTTTTGAGTCCACTGATGCGTCTGCCTTAGTTGCTGAGCTTGTCGACTTTGCTGCTCGCTGTCGTCTAGACTACGCTGCTAGTCTTGTTGCTGAGTCTGAGTCTGTCTGTCCTCCGTCCGTCGGGGGTGAGTGTGCTCTTAGCACGGACGTCCTTGAGGACAGGCAGGAGGAGTTCCAGTGTTTTGCTGCTGCTTTGCCTCATCTCGTGTCCACGCTGATTGCCCCTGAGGGAGACCCGGATGCACCAGACATCCCGACTCCTCGATCGTACGCTGAGGCGATCGAGGGTCCCTACTCCTCACAGTGGCACTCAGCCATGGACGCAGAGATGGCTTCCTGGAAGTCCACAGGCACCTACGTCGACGAGGTTCCCCCACCTGGGGCGAACATCGTCAGTGGCATGTGGATTTTCAGGGTGAAGCGGCCGCCGGGTTCTCCGCCTGTCTTCAAGGCGCGTTACGTGGCTCGAGGCTTCAGTCAGCGGCAGGGAGTTGACTACTTTCAGACCTTCTCCCCTACCCCGAGATGACCAATCTTCGGGTGCTTCTGCACATAGCCGCTCAGCGCGACTACGAGCTTCACTCTCTTGACTTCAGCACAGCTTTCTTGCAGGGCAGCCTGCACAAGGAGATCTGGCTGCGCCGCCCACCTGGCTTCACTGGGTCGTTCCCTCCTGGTACCCAGTGGAGCCTCCGGCGGCCAGTCTACGGTCTCCGCCAGGCGCCCCGTGAGTGGCACGACACACTGAGGACTACACTTGCGGCTCTTGGGTTTGCTCCTTCTACTGCCGACCCGTCGCTGTTTCTGCGCACCGACACCTCTTTGCCGCCGTTCTACATCCTCGTGTACGTCGACGACTTGGTCTTTGCCACTGCTAACACTGCTGGACTCGCCTACGTGAAGTCCGAGCTGCAGAAGAGACACACGTGTACAGACCTGGGTGAACTGCGCAGCTACCTTGGCTTGCAGATCACCCGGGACAGAGCACAGCGCACCATTACCCTGACTCAGTCACACATGGTGCAGCAGGTCCTTCAGCGCTTCGATTTCACGTACTCCTCGCCTCAGGCCACTCCTCTGTCTACTCGCCACTCGCTCTCAGCTCTGCCTTCGGATGAGTCCGTAGAGCCGAGTGGCCCGTACCCAGAGATTGTTGGCTGCCTCATGTACCTGATGACCTGCACACGACCTGACCTAGCATACCCTCTTAGCATCTTGGCACGCTATGTGGCTCCTGGGAGACACCGACCAGAGCACATGGCTGCAGCGAAGAGGGTGTTGCGCTACTTGTGCAGTACGTCGGACATGGGGCTAGTGCTTGGAGGGCGACGTCCAGTGGTCCTCACAGGTCACGCAGACGCTTCTTGGGCTGACGACCAGGCTACGCAGCGGTCGTCACAGGGTTACACCTTCAGCCTTGGTTCCGGCTCTGTCTCGTGGCGGTCTACCCGCTCGTCTTCTGTTCTCGGCTCCAGCTGTGAGGCCGAGATCTACGCAGGGGCCATGGCTGCACAGGAGCTACGCTGGCTCACCTACCTGCTGACTGACCTAGGAGAGCCGCCTCGTTCTCCTCCAGTTCTGTACGTAGACAACAAGGCCATGCTGGCCTTGTGTCGGGAGCACAGACTGGAGCACAGAACGAAGCACATTGCTCTCCGCTACTTCCTTGCTCTTGAGCTGCAGCAGCGCGGTCAGCTGCGCCTTGCTTACGTGGCCTCTTAGGCCAACACTGCTGATATCTTTACCAAGGCACTTCCGCCTTGTGATCATCAGCGCTTTTGTACTTTGCTAGGTCTTGTGCCTACTTGGCCTCACTTGCTCACCTCTTGACTTTGCTTGTACTGTGATCTATATATACCTGCACTTGCATGCTTACCCTTGCTAGGTTGAGATCACTGCCTTGCTTGTTCATCTTGATGTATAACTCTGCATGTGAACTGGCCTTGTGGCCTTGTGCTTGTGCTCAGATTGTGTGGTGACGTTGTGATCCACCCTGGGCTTGCCTTACTTCTCTTGACTGGTCTTGTGACCCCTTGTTCTCCCCCACTTTGCCTATGGGGGTGTGTCGAACTTATATGCTATAGTATGTTTAGGCTGTAGTGGGGTAGTCTATATGGGGTACAACACTTTAGGGTTTCCTACTTGTACTCCTCATGCTGCTCAATGCAATCATTCCTTCCTCAATTCTCACAGTGAGCACAGTGGGGTAGGGCAGTGCAGTGGCAGAGGCGGTGCTCTTACCAGGCAAGTGAGGCGGTCCGGGGCAGGCCGGCAGGGACAGGGCCGCTACTGCAGTGACGGCGGCGTCTCGGCTGCGGCGGCCCGGCGGCTCGGCGGCTCGGCTGCAGTGCGGCTCGGCGGCTCGGCGGCTCGGCTGCAGTGCGGCTCGGCGGCTCGGCGGCTCGGCGGCAAAGGCGGCTCGGTGGCTCGGCGGCTCGGCGGCAAAGGCGGCTTGGCGGGGCCGTGAAGGGCGGCGTCGCTGCTGCGAAGGAGCGGCGACGGGGCCGCTGAAGGGCGGCGACGAGGCCGCCGAAAGGGGCGGCGACGAGGCCGAGTAGGGGCGGCGACGGGGCCACGGAAAGGGGTGGCGACGGGGCCACGGAAAGGGGCGGCGACGGGGCCGCTGAAGGGCGGCGACGGGGCCGCTGAAGGGCGGCGTTGAGGCCGCTAAGAGGCGGCAACCGGGCCGCTGAAAGGGCGGGGACGGGGCCGCTGAAGGGCGGTGACGAAGCCGCTAAGAGGCGGCGACGGGGCCGCTGAAAGGGCGGCGACGGGGCCGCTGAGAGGGCGGCGACGGGGCCGCTGAAAGGGCGGCGACGGGGCCGCTGAAAGGGCGGCGACGGGGCCGCTGAAAGGGCGGCGACGGGGCCGCTGAAAGGGCGGCGACGGGGCCGCTGAAAGGGGGAGGCGGCGACGGGGCCGCTGAAAGGGGGAGGCGGCGACGGGGCCGCGGAAGGACGGCGACGGGGCCGGAAGGGGGCGGCGACGGGGCCGTCAAGGGCGGCAACGAGGCCGGCAGAGGCGGCGACGGGGTTGCTAAGGGCGGCGCGACGGGCCGCTAAGGAGGGCACGACGGGGCCGCTAAGGAGGGCGCGACGGGCCGCTAAGGGCAGAACACTAGGCGCGCCTCGGGCAGGGGACAACGCGCGCCCCGGGAAGGAAAAAAAAAAAAACTCGATCCTGGTGGGCCCTAGGAGAGTTCCCACTGGGGAACCTGCTCGATACCATGAGAAACTTAGAACGAGAATGAATGACTAAGGAATGAAAGTGATACAAATATGAAACCCTAGAATTGTGTACCCCTTAGTATCTAACCCGCTACAGCCTACACAGGCTAGATCATATAAGTTTGACAAGAGGGGGAGGGAGAGAGCGAGGGAGATAAAGCAGTGGATCAGCATAGTTGGTGGGCAGACATGGGTGCAAAGAGATGGCAGCTAAGAGGGAAGAAACTGCAACAAGAAACACGATGTATGGGGACGCACCGGTTGCTGAAAGGATAGAGGGGTGCGTGTGGATGGATGAACAATTGCATGCACATGGCGTGCACATGCATGCACATGGCGTGCACATGCATGCACATGGCGTGCACATGCATGCACCTGCCCGATGTCGACAGCCGGGTTGAGGCTGCGCGCACAGTCATAGTGTGTGTCAGCACACTGCACCTCCACTGCCCCTGTCAACACATCCACCTCCACCTGCCCCACCATTGTGCCATTGCAGGGGGTACAGAGGGTGGGGAGCAGGGAGAGACAGGAAGGGCAGGAATGAGAGGATGAGAAGAAGGGGGATTTTGGCACATAGTCGGCATGAGATGGCACATAGTCGGCATGAGATGGCAGCAGGGAAGATTTCTGTATGCATGCTTTGCTTGATTGTATACCGTCATCCACAGGTGTACCTCTGAGACGGTGGCACCAAAGGTGAAGTAGGAGGCGTGCGAGGGGTCTGGGGTGAAGCGCTCCTGCACAGAGAGCGTCACCTCCATGGCCTTGGCTTGTGCTGCCACCTCTTCCCACCTCGCCACGTCACCCCCCTCCACTGCCACGTCACCCTCTTCCACTCCTGACTCCCCTGCCAAGAGCCCGCTCTCCCCCCTCACCCGCCGACGCGCCTTGGCCTGCTCAACTGCAGCTTTGAGGCAGGGGCAGATGGGGCAATTTAATGATTTTAATAACAAACGGTCAGACGGGGCAGACGCGACTTGGCCTGGTCAAATACAAGGGCATTTGCTATTAAAATCATTTTATATCTCAGAAATATACCTGGAGTAGAATATTTGGCTGTAATAGGGTTTCGAATTGGTAGAAATGTAAAAAGCTATTCGTACACTTCCCTAACTGATTAGTAGCAATTTGAATTCTTTTTATTAAATGCAACAGAACGTCATTGCACACTAAAGACCTTAGAAATAAGTGGTGGGCCTGTGCAGTAAAACTGCGTTGCTAGTCCAATGAGCACCTCAAAACTTATCTAACATTATTTTATAAACATCAACTGACCTTCGAAGGACCTGCAAGAAAAACTTGACGAGCATGTTAAACAACACAGAAAATGTTGTTACATGAAACGCATACCTCCGCACACGACGAGAATGGATTCTACAACAACTCGGGTGACACCGTGCCTAATAAAAACGAAGCACAGACGAATAGCACAGAGAACATTTAAGAAAGAAAAACAAATTGCAAGAGAAAAACAGACAACCTGGTTAGGAAGTGTTAAAAATATCACAGAGAAACATATGTTAGATGCAACGCATACCTCGCCATGGCGACCACTCTAAATTCTACATAAAGTTGGGCGAAAACGTGCATGGTTAAAAAGAAACACCGGCAAGTAAGACAGAAATGCGAACACAATGAGAAGGGAAAAAAAAAACAATAAAAAACTTTGGTATTCTCACCTAGAAGCCCGCCTCCCCAGTGCCTGCTCCTTCTCCCTACACTAAGCAGTCAGACTCTCTTACAGAGTGTCGTGAACCTGCGTCTCACCCTGCCTCGCCTGTTCGTGCTGGTCGCACTGGTCGTCATGTTCCGCGTCTGCGTCCCCCTCCTTTCTTGGGCCCTCACACTATGGCACTTCGTCCTTCATCTGTTCCACTGCGAGTTCCCCTGCCGTCTCCTCCTGCGTCCTCTCTTCCTGACGGTCCGAACCCTGAGTCTGACTTAGTTCGTGGTGCCAGTCCTACTGTCACACGTCTTCTAGCCACTGTTGTCACCGGCCCTTCGTTTGAGTCCACTGCTGCGTCTGCCCTAGTTGCTGAGCTTGTCGACTATGCTGCTGGCTGTCGTCTCGACTACTCCGCTAGTCTTGTTGCTGAGTCTGAGTCTGTCTGTCCTCCATCCATCGGGGGTGAGTGTGCTCTAGACATTATATGTTATTGCTGTGTAGGCTATAGTGGGTTAGCCTTTAAGGGGTACACAACTCTAGGGTTTCTTACTTGTACTCCAATGTTTCATAATTCAATCACTTCTTGTTTCTGACATGGTATTAAGAGCTTAGGTCCTAGTCCTAGGACCGCTTACCTAAGGGCCCACCGCTAGAAGTGCCCTCGAGCGCCGTATCTATTTAGCGCCCTCGAGCGCCTCTCTCCTAGTGCGCCCTCGTGCGCCTCTCTTCCTCCTGCTGCTCGTGCGCAGCTCGCTAGTGCCGCGCGCGGCCTTTTTTTTAGCGCGCGTAGCCCGCTAGCAGCCCGCGCGCGGCCCTTTTCTGAGCGCGCGCCGACCCCTAGCCGCCCGCGCGACCGGCGCCGCCCACGAGCAGCCCCTAGCCGCCCGTCGACCGCCGCCCAGAGCGCCGCAGCCCCGTCCGTAGGCCGCCGCGACGCCCCTCTAGGCCGCCGCCCGCGCGCTAGTCAGGCCCACGCACAGCCACGGCCCGCCCGCTACAGCCGCCCACGCGCACGCCCCCCGTCGCGCACCGCCGCGTAGCCGCCCGAACCGAGCCGCGCCGCCCGAACCGAGCCGCGCCGCCCGAACCGAGCCGCGCCGCCCTGGCCGAGCCGCGCCGCCGTACTGTGCCCCACCTGCAGCAACTCCTGTTCCTGTTCATACCGTACTACTGCTTCAGCTGCAACTGTTACTGCTACTGCTACTACTGCTACTGTTCCTCCTGCTGCTACTGCCACTATGGCCACTCCCTCTATTCTCACCTTTGACGCTGAGGGCCGCCCGATTAAGTTTGAGGTTTGGTTAGATGACCTCCACCTGTTCCTCCAGATCACTGCCAAGGACGATGTCTCCCTGTATGACCACACGTCAGGCGCCGCTCCCGCACCTCCCACTACTGCTGACAGTACTGCTCGCTCCTAGTGGCAGACCCGTGATGCTCACGCTCGCCTAGCCGTTCGCAGCCACCTGCCGTTAGATGAGCGCGAGCACTTCGGCCAGCATAAGACCGCTAAGGAGCTGTACGACGCAGTAGTCGCGCGCTACTCCTCCCCTGCCACTGCTGCTATAGGCCGTCTCTCACTGCCCTACCTCTTTGTCAGAATATGTTGTTTGTGTAGCCTGCAGTGGGGCACTCAATAGTGAGTACAGCCCCTTAGGGTTTGCTATTTGTATCCTGCTGCTTGCTAGTTCAATCATCCCTTCTCAATTCTGTTCGTGCACACGTTCCTAGCTTGTACTTGGCGCCTCCTCGTTCTAGTCCTACTGTGGCCTAGGCTACTAAGCCTAGGCCGTACTCCTCCTATATTTGACATGGTATCAGAGGGCGGCATGTCTGCCGCCTTCCTGTGTATGGGCCCACCACCCGCTTCCGCTGCCGCAGTGTCCGCCGCGCGCCCCGTGGTGCGCGGCGGCGAAACCCTAATTTCTGCCCGTCGCGCGCTCCGGGCGCCTGGCGGTTTTCCCTTCCGTGGCGCCCGTCGTGGTGCCCTTGGGGGGGCCTCCGCGGTCCCCTCCCGTCGAAGCGCCCGTCGAGGCGCTCTCGGGGAACCGCGCGGCCTCCCCTCCCGTCGCCCGTCGAGGCGACCTCGGGGACCCGCGCGGCCTCCCCTCCCGTCGCCCGTCGAGGCGACCTTGGGGGCCCGCGCGGCCTCCCCACCAGTCGCCCGTCGTGGCGACCACGGGGGCTGCGCGCGGTCCCCTCCCGTCGCCCGTCGAGGCGACTTCGGGGGCCGTGCGCGGCCCTCCCCGTCGCCCGTCGAGGCGACTTCGGGGGGCCCGCGTGGCGCCCTCCCCGTCGCCCGTCGAGGCGACTTCAGGGGGCCCGCGCGGCGCCCTCCCCGTCGCCCATCGAGGCGGCTCTGGGGGCCCGTCGCGGCGCCCTCCCTGGTGCCCGTCGCGGCGCCCCAGGGGGGGGCCGCGCGGCTCCCTTCTCGTCGCCCCTCGGGTCGCACTGGGGGCCGTGCGTTCCCCCCCCCCCCCCCCCCCCCCCCCCCCCCTCCTACCTTTCACCTGCAGCGGCCGCCCCTGGAGCCGCCCGCCACTGCAGCAGCCGCCCCTGGAGCAGCCCGCACCTGCAGCAGCCGCCCCTGGAGCAGCCCGTGCCTGCAGCAGCCGCCCCTGGAGCAGCCCGTGCCTGCAGCAGCCGCCCCAGGACCCGCGCGAGCCGCCCCTGCGGAAGCCCGTCCCGTCCCCCCCACCCCCCCCCCCCCCCCCCGTGCTGCCCATTGCTCCCATTCCGCCGTGCGTTCCGCGGTGGTGGGGGTGTGGGGTGGCAAGCATGGGGGTGAGAGGTGTGGGTTCTCCCCTCCTCCTTTTTCGTCTCCCACTGCTGCAGCTGCCGCTGAGGGGGGTGGAGGTGTGGGAGCTGTGGGGAGTGGAGCTAGGGGGGTGATGTGGGAGTGGAGCTAGGGGTGAAACTGGGGGTGTGTGTAGGGGGGTGTGGGACAGTTGGGGGAGGTTGAGTGGAGGCAGCCGTCGTGTCGTCCGCAGCGCCTGTATTCCGGGGCCCTTGTCGCCGGTAGCTCAGAGAGCCTGCTGCACCTGTTGCCCGTGGGTCCGTTGCTCCTGCCGCTCGTCGCAGCCGCAGAGCCTGTTACTCCTGTATTCCGGGGCCCTTGTCGCCGGTAGCTCAGAGAGCCTGCTGCACCAGTCGCCCGTGGGTCCGTTGCTTCTGCCGCTCGTCGTAGCCGCAGAGCCAGTTACTCCAGTAGTCCGGGGCCCTTGCCTCGGTAGCCACTGTGTCAGCCGCCACTGTGTCAGCCGCTTCTGTTGCCCGTGTGTCTGCAGCTTCAGTCGTCGCCTCCCATCTTCTCTCCCCTCACAGTCCCTCCTCCTCCTCACTTGCCCTCTGTGATAGCCTCTAGCTTTGCTGATAATTGTGAACTATTGCACTGCCTGCTCATTGTGCTGATTACACCCCACTTTGGCTATGGGGGTGTGTCAGAATATGTTGTTTGTGTAGCCTGCAGTGGGGCACTCAATAGTGAGTACAGCCCCTTAGGGTTTGCTATTTGTATCCTGCTGCTTGCTAGTTCAATCATCCCTTCTCAATTCTGTTCGTGCACACGTTCCTAGCTTGTACTTGGCGCCTCCTCGTTCTAGTCCTACTGTGGCCTAGGCTACTAAGCCTAGGCCGTACTCCTCCTATATTTGACACTCTTCCCCGACCTGTCCGCCTTTGCCACTGTAGCTGACCTCATCACCCACCTCCGTACCAGTGACCTCCGCTACCGTGCCGCGCTCCCCCCCAATTTCCTCGCCAAGAACCCCCCCCCGATGTACCTCACACTGTACCACCTTGTCACCCGCCTCCCTGACTCCCTTCGCACTGTCAGGGACCAGTTTCTCGCCCTCTCCCCCACTGACCTCACTGTCGACCTCCTCGAGAAGGAACTCCTAGCAGCTGAGAAGAGCATTGTAGCTGTAGGTGCCTCTCGTGGTGACCCCCGCACCCCCTTCTTTGAGGGGTGCTCCCCCTCCCCCCTCCTCCCCTCCATTGCATCTGCTGCTGCTGTCGACTACCTCGGAGCTGAGGGGGTCGGGGCCGCGTCTGCTCCTAGTGGGAGGCGCAAGGGCGGCAGGGGCAAGGGGGGCAGGGGTGGTAGAGGTGGAGGCGGGGGCGGCGGCAGTGGAGGGGGTGGGGGGGGCGGGGGTGGTGGCGGAGGTGGGAGTGGCGCGGGCGGTGGGGGGGTCAGTGGCGGCACAGGGGGTGGTGGCGGCGGCGGTGGTGGGGGTGGTGGGTGCGGTAGTGGCAGTGGTGGCGGCGGTGGAGCGGGTGGCGGACGCGGTGGAGCGGTGCAGCGTGGGGGGTTCGGCGGTGGCCAGAGGCAGCAGCAGCAGCGTCCCGGCGAGACTCCCTCGCCCCAGCAGCTCCGTGAGTGGTACTCTCAGCGTGGGGGGTCTGGGGGTGGAGGTACCTGCCCTTACGTCATCCGCACAGGTGACCGCACTGGCCAGACTTGTGGGAGGTTTCACACGGCACAGCGCTGTTTCTTTCGCCTCGACGACGCCTGGCGCGAGCAGTTTCCTGACGCCTCTGAGCTGCCCCGCTGGGCTGATCTGCTTAAGAAGGGAATTGATATCTTTGCTCTTGATTATGATGCTATCCTTGCTGCTATGTATGCATTGACTATTAGTGTTGAGGGTGACTGTTACCTGAGTGTACCGCCCGACCCGGGTATTGGGACCTGTGAGGCTGCAGCTCTAGGTGCTAGCGCGTCTGCTGCTCCAGGTCCTGGTGAGGCTGCTGCCCTAGGTGCTAGTGCGTCTGCGCCTGCTGGTACCGCACCTACTGAGGCACTGCACACCTTCACACTGGACTCAGGTGCTTCCCGCTGTTTCTTTCGCGACCGCACTGCCCTAGAGCAGCTTCCTAGACCGGTTGCTGTCTCCCTGGCTGACCCCTCAGGGGGTCCGGTCCTTGC